TCAAAGCGATAAAATACCTTGCATTAATGATACAAACTGTTTATCTCCACTAGAGGAAAACGGTATCAAAATGTTTTAACCCAGAGGCTACATGTATAAGAGCAAAAATACGAGAATTCATAGGAACTTTTATTAAATTTTATACCAGTAAATAAATTTCCACAGTTGCCATTTTAATCTTATAAAGGTTCTTTCTAAACTTCCGCCAGAGTTCGTTTGTACCAAACCAAATCGCAGATCTCTGCGTTCGGAGACGCAGAGGACTATGGGTAGTATGGGTCATTTCTAGCTGACAGTATGGTGTCAGAGAGAAAAGATTCCTTTATTAATCAATAATGAATCTTTTTGATTTTACCCTGGATACAGAATTTTTCAAAAGTTTAAAGTTTTTTATCCATATTTTTAAAACGGGCACCAAAAAGTGTTCCAAAATAGAAAAATCGTATATTAAAAATATTTGATTTTCTATGAATGAAGTTTCAAACTTTTCTTAAAAAAAATAGGGATTTTAATTTGTAAAAATAAGTACTAAATTAAATTGCCTCTGACCTATATGTATGATACAGGGAAAAAAAAGGGGTTAGCTCAAAACCTGTAAAATGTCTTTTGTCGTTTGCTAGTGTTAACAAAATAGGAATTGTAGCATAAAACATGATTAACTAAAAAAAAATAATAATAATAAGTTCCCATCTTTCCAAAACAAGGCACATGTAGTATCGTTTTCCCCGTTCTATCATGTACATAAAAAACATGGTGATTTTATGAGTTTTTTACCAATAGAAAAAAAATTTAAATGATGAAAAAGTTGTTACTTTACATGATATACTTATGCCCCCGTAAACGAAATCTCTGGGGTTTTGCCCCTGTACACGAAGTTTCTGGGGTATATAATCATTTTACCTGTCCGCTTGTCTGTTTGTATATCTTTTCCGCAAAACTTGAACCTTGCCCATGTCCATGACTGGTTAAAACTATATATTTCACAAGTGTATTTTTGTGAGAAGACCTTGTGTTGTGTACAATCAATTTTGAACTTTTAATATCTCTACACTGTATACTAAAGACTTGTTATTCAAGGGGGGGGGGTAGGGGAATTGCATTGTAAACATTTAAAAATCAAAGCCCATGCAAAACAATACAAAATATAAAGGAGCAAATTTTCTCCTCTTAAGTAAACATCAGAGATGGAATCATTTTTTTATGGAGAAATGAGCATGCCCTGCTGACCGGTCATATCTGCCGAATGAAATAAGTAAATTCGCAAACTCGAGGCCTTTAACGGACCAACAAAAAGCATGTAAGATTAGTCAGCAATTTTTCAATTTGATAAATTGCGCGTGCTAAACAGATACATAGAATTAACGATCATGCACTGGAAATGAGACTGCCGATATTCTTGTTTTTATTTATTAAACTTGCTTGTCAATAATTTACTTCTTATAGAAATTGTTCATATGTAGAGCATGCTCTTGCGTATAGAATCAATTAAATATATATCCTTTTGCAGGTGATGAAGGTAAATCGCTGCATAACCAAGGACATTTGACGATAGAAAAGTTTGTCATTTTTATCATTAAGCCTAATTTTTTCTACCATTAACGTTTTTTTTCAAGTAAAATTTTTTTCAAGTAAAATATCCAGACAGATGTGTCAGACTCTGTGGCATCTTTCATCTCAAGCTAGCTCACAAGGATATATCGTATCGACATAGGAATGAAAATTACCATTGTTAATTGACAATACGTCGTCGATATTTATATCTAAATGTTGAGTTGAAGGCCACAGCAAGTATTTTTTTTTTTCACGCATTAGACTTCGCACAAATTCTGTTTCAAGTGAATATAAAAATAGATTTACTTATATCGGAGTGCAAATGGTACCCAGGGGAACCAATTTTTTGTGGAATATCTGGTCTTCAAAAAAAAAAAACCCAGATATTGTCGATCAGTAACTCAAGCATCTTTTTCACGTCAACTTCATAGTACTTGTGTGTGCAATGTGTTTTAACAAAATAATTCTGCAAATGACCAATGACCTTTTTAAATTTACAAGTTCCGTTTTATTAGAAAACAGCTGTCATTGAAATAAAAAAAAAATCCTGGTTCACACCACTTTTTGAATAATTGTTGCGCAGTACACTAAGATTTTTTTTACAGTCAATACTTTAGTGCGGAGTACAAAAGAGATTTGAATGAACTTTAAAACGGAACCGGCAATGTGTCTTTGTTCGGAATCCAATATATATCGGGTAATTCAAATTTATTTTTGCTCTGTGTAATATTAAAAATATTTAAAACTGACCTAAAATTTTGAAGAATTTCTTCCTTAGAAAGGGAAGTATGAGTATAAGTAGGATTACCACTTGTAGAATTAATTCTTAAAAGTTCTTCTAAAATACAATTAATGAGACATACAAACGAAGACAATGTTGTTACCTGCTTTGTCGACAAGGACCAGTACGTATTGATCATGTAATCTATCTATTTTTTTTCATTTCCGGATTATTGAACACAGAATGAATGAGGGTTTTCATATTACCCCTCAATTTGGATACGCGGCGTTAACATGGATCTGATACATTTAATCCATTGTGGAAAAAATCAACAATTCCCCCTGTTACTTTAACATGTTTAACATTAATTTTGGAGGTATGTGCTAGAAATTTATTTTGAAGTAAGGGCATGACAACTAAGAGTTCATTAATTTGCACAGGTTACCAGTGTCTTAAAAACCCGAAAAAGTTATGTAAAAGCAACCATTGGTCACGTATCTGTGGGCTAGAAAGTGTTGAAAAGAGATTTTTAAGTTTTTATTTTGATTTATAGATATCTCTTAAGGTTGAACTATTTTTCACTCAGGTGTAAATTTTTAGTTTTGGAGAAATTTGTAATATCATCATAAGAACTTCTTGATGTGTATTGTATTTCCTGTATATAAAGTAAAAAGTATAGTAATATATAAGGTAGTTAAAAAGTGTGTATTTTAAAGCAGAATAAATGCATACAGATGTATATGTACTAAGTTTAAAGGTAAGAGCCAATGGAATTGAATTTATATAGTTAAACAATGTTGATATCGATGTTCGGAGGTCCGTGTTTGCTCTGCTCCTATTTTGTATTGTTTTATTGACTTTGATATTGAATACTGTTCTGTATCTCTGGACATATCCCTTTTTCTTGCTTCTGTGCTATTTTTCTTTTTTTAAGAATTTTAAAAGATTAAGTTTGAAACGTATCATGCCATTTTCGGAAAATAAACCTTTGAATGAAAAAAACCCAAAATATATAATCATAAATTATGCTCCTCGATGAATAAATATTCATTGGGATTCTGCAAGCAAAAAATATACCCATACCAGATACATGCATTGGTTGTGATGCTAGTTTAAGATAGTGCAATTGAATATAAGTTGGAAAGGATAAGATTGCATAAAAAAATTCCCCCTACTTGGATTTGAAAGTATGAAAAAAGCAGGAGACACATATACAAGGTTTTATTGTATAAAATATAGGGGGGTCAAATTTCTATGAGGGTCATTTTTCAACGTGTGTGAATTCGTAGAATTAATGGTTTGGAATGTTTTTCTACAGTGAAAAATACCCTACTTGTCGTAGAATATTACCGGGGGGGGCATTTTTTACTAAAAAATGACCAATCGTCATAAAAGAATAAAAAGGCACATAAATATAAAATATTTTGAAGTAGAATTTAAATAAAACGAGAATTTTTATGCTGTACGATAACAGTCAATGCCAACAGATAATTGTGAATTTAAAAAAATCCGTTATTTTACTCAGAATTGCTTTGGCACGGAAATACATGTACGGTGTTTCAACCCCGTACTTTGTAATTAATTCATTCTATAAGTAGTAGTTTTATCGTCAGAAGTCCACATTATTTTTTAGCGTAAAGAATTAGCATTATTATTTTCTATATATATAAGTAGATTAATTTATTTTTTAACTACACGCGATAACAAATACATGTACACGTTAGATGGCGATTAAATTCATGTTATTAAAATATCGATTTAAACATAGGTATGTGTAGAAAAAAAAATGTTTTTATTGATTAATTAATTAATTAATTTATTTATTAATTAATTTATTTATTTATCTATTGTTTATCTCAGTAGTAGTTTTATCTTCTAAAGTCAATATTATTTTATTAGTTAAAAGAAAAAGCATAATTATTCACTTTATACATTAATTTTTTTTTAACTACACAAGGTAGCAAATACACGTTTGACGGCGATTAAAATCATGTTATCAAAATATCGATTTTAACATACTTGTTCGTATGTGCAGATTTTTTTTATTAATTATTTATTCATATATCTATTTATTTCTCTTTTGTTTATCTATTGTTTATCTATATATATTTATGACATTTGAATTATAGAATAAAAGAATAATTTCAATGAAAGGAAAAGACCGAAGGCATTCCGAATAAATCGTTCATCTTGCGTTCACCGTTCGTTCACCGTTCACTTTGCGCTAGCCTTCGCGCTCCGTTCGCGTTCTGCGTTCACTCACCGTTCACCGTTCACACATCGTTCACCAAGTTGCGTTCACCGTTCGCACATCGTTCACTCACCGTTCGCTCCGGTTTGTTCACCGTTCGTTCAGCGTTCGTTCACCGTTCAGGTGGGAAAGTAGAACGTTTCAGGGACTGTATGAATATAAGAAAAATCTGTTAATAAAGATCAGAACCATCTTGATTCAGGTGAAAATTGTAGCTCTTTGGCCTGACTCTTTTTTTAATAAATCACCAACCCTAATCCATATTCCGCTTCAAGCCATCAGCTTTTTAAACCCTGATAAAGAAAATGAGATTAGTTTTAACATTTTCTTCTCACGAACCACTTGTTTATTTAAAAACAAAAAGAAAAGATAAAATAAACCCATCATCACCCTTGATTGGATAAGCCTTCATAATTGAAAAGGATCATAATAGAAAACTTATTACATCTGACAATGAAATATAAAGGAAAAATGTTTCAAAATGTTCTTTACAGGATAAGAAGGGTCATAATCTGTTTTATTAATATGCAAATATTTTCACTCACTGCAGAAATAAGATCATAAATTTCTCAAGATAATTGCAGTGAAAACACGTTTCTTAATCATATCCTTTTTTTCAGGAGAAAACATTGTTTTTCCGAGAAGTATGGAAAACTTTAGAAATGCATAAATCTCTGAAAGAACATCTCAATGTAAAGCGACGATTTGCGATTGGATTCAACGACAACGAAGGCATCGAGAGTATCAAGCTGTCAATCCTTGATGTTGTAGGTAAACTTGATCACTGGGGTGAAGAGCTTCCTCGCTCATGGGCTATGTTTGAAACATTCTTTCAGGAGAAGAAAAAACTCAAGATTTTAAAGATAGACGCACTCATTGCTTTCAATGAAGCATTGCCAGAGGGAATAAAGCTCCAAATGGATGATATCAATGTTATGCTGCAGTTTTTCCATGATATAAGAGAAATTTTATACTTTGCTCAAGTATTGCTCAGAGAAATAGTTATTCTTGACGTTCAGTGGTTTGCATATGCATTTAAAAATGTCATAACAGATAAAAACCATGCACAAGAGGATTTATTTGAGTTTACTGCAGAATGGGACAAATTCAATGAAACTGGGGAGTTAGATGAAACACTGCTTTGTGCTATATGGAAAATGAACAACAATGGGTACATCGAACATAAAGAAGACATTATGCTTTACATGGAGAGACTAGGGCTCTTAGCTAAAATGAGTGACAACAAATGGTATGTTCCCTGTATGAACAAAGTACCGTTTCCTGTGGAATGTTTCTCATCATACCCTGCCTCCTCCATCCTCTGCTACACATTTGATTTTCTTCCTGCGGGAATTTTCCATCGTCTTGTAGCAACTTGCATGCAGATTCCTTGGGAGGTATTTGCTGATAACGACAAAGGATGCATTTACCAGACTGTAACTATTTTCGTGTTTCCAGACTTGCACCATAACATCATGCTTGGAATGACTCAAAAAGAAATTCAATTGCAAGTTTTTGTGGCAGAGGGAGAATTAGATGTTTTAACATGTCATCAAGTTAGAGAAAAAATTGAGCATATGTTATACAACCTTTCCAACACATTCCATAAAACCCCTGAATTCCAAGTTGCATTCAAATGCAAATCCAAAGGATTTTGTGACAGCAAAGAAAGCTCTGTCATAAGTGAATCTAAGTTTACACAAGCAACCTTTCAGTGTCCGTCCTGTCCGGCAAACAAAAAGCACTGTATCATCACAGAAGATATTAAAAAATATTGGGAACAGGTAATTCCTCTGAAATACTACATCAATACAGAAAATATATTACAAAGTTTTGGAAACAGGTACCGTGGTATATGTAAATGAACATGGTAGTTCAAATAATTATAACACAGTGGAATCCTTGTTACATGTACTGGTAAGGTCAATGTTTGTGGGTGACCAAAAGGTCACTTTTTGGAGGTGTCATATTTTTTTGGTAATGTTTATATATTATATGTGAACATGTATGCAAAATTCAACTGACTTATATAAAGACCCAATATTTTTCATGGGCATAAAATGTAAGGGGTAATGCAAACTAAAGAAAATCTAGAAACATTTGGCACCCGCAAACAATGATTGCTCCACGGGAATGCTCGTTATGCAAAATGAATTAAATCTGAAATTGAAGTTTTTGTCTTTGTAGTAGAATCTTGAATAAGTTTCAATATTTCTATTATATAAGGTTCCTGAGGAGGACTCCAAGATTAAAACAGATAAAAGTGGAAATGAGAAAACAACACTGACAAAGCCTATGAAGGACACAACAGCAATCGAATTACCCTCTACAGGTTTCTTATTTATTTTACAATCCTAATGCACAAATCTAAAATTCATTTAATTAATAAGATATAATGCTTTCTTAATGAAACTTTTTAAAAAAATGTTTTGAAATAATTTATTTAATTTCTTATTTTTTCATGAATGACAATCTTAAATGAGTTCATTATAAGGGTAAACTATAACAATTAATACCTCATGCTACCTTGATTACTAAAATAGATGAGTCCAGCGAAAATTTTGACAAAATCATGAAGTTGTTGCACGTTGGAGTTGACGCTATACGAATCTGCTTTGATAAATTCTTCCCAAAAGAGAGTTTAGAAAAGACTCTGAAAGATAATGAAACAGACATGAGAAGAGGACAGTTCCGATTCCAACCACCTCAACTAGAGATTTTGTTCCCTCCTGAAGGTACTTGCCATTTAATTAATAATGGTTACATATAGATATACATGTACAGTATATGTTCATAGCATTAATTAATGTTTAAAAGAAAGGGAATACATCTCATCGGTACAGTCAAATACACACGTAGTTACTCTTTGCTAGATATAGTAGTATTTCATTTACTTTTGCCACAAGTAGTTCAGATGAGTGCATTTTGTCACACAATATTTCTACCGTATTTTGGTTCTTTACTACATAACTATATCAGTTCAAACCTTCATTGTTTTAAAATAAATGGGACATTACTTTACTGTAATTAAAGAAATCATCAACAAGTTCGTGTTTGGAACATTTTTTGCAAAGAATTAAGACAATTTTTGAACCCATAGATTCTGCTGAAATTTAACAATGTAATTTACCCTAACCCTCCAACACACCCCAACATACCCCCTCCCAACCCTAGGGATTTTGAAATATTCTTAAAATTTTAAACAAGTTCTCATAGTAAGCCAATCATTTCTGTTTTTAAATGTGTATATAATTAATCAAAGGGAAGCATTCTAACTTGAAGAAACGAATGAAGAATCTTGTTTTTTTTATTGATTAGACTGTGCAAATTAGTATACATTGTTTTAGTTGCTGTTTATATTTTTGTTCTTTTAAGGTGGGTCTAATAGTGTTACATCCTTATCTATGGACATATCTATCATGTATAAATTGTTGAGGAATTACTCTGACATTCCTCCTCCTGGGAATGGATGGGGAAAGGAACCTAAAGTGGAGTACATTACGGAGAGTGACGACATAGAGAGGATTCGTTTATATAGAAATAAGTACTCTCATGTTTCCGGAAGTAATCCTGTCCTTAAGGATGATGTTTTCAACGTAATCTGGACTGACCTATACCAGGTAAAACATTTATTTGCACTTCTATTAGAATATTTTTTCGCAGTTTAATAAAATTGTGTAATTTGGAATTATCTTCAGAGAATTTCTTTAAAGCAATCACAAAGTATCAGCAAAGGTAAAAATTAGTAAGTAAAATTGTTGATATTTTTTTTTTTACATCTTATGCCCCTTTTATCCTAAATGGTACAAAGTCATAATCTCTTACATGTTTGATATCTTCAGAATCAGTTGAAATATTTGAATAAAATAATTCCTTCTTGAAACATTCCACATGTACCTAAATTTAAATGTAAAAACTGACAAATATTTGAAGGAATATTAGTAAAGTTAGTAATTAAGGTAAAAACATTTTGAATATATTGAAAAATTGCTTGAAAAGGAAAAACATACAAGCGTTGCTATGCAATGACGATTCGTATTTGTTAAAACAATCATTTCTGTAGACAAGGAAAGACTGTTTGTACCTAAATATCATATCTTAATTACAAATCAGGAAAAAGGTTTATTTAGTCACATAAAACCAATAATAATAAAAGTGAAGACGGAAACCCTAATTACAAAATGCATTGTCTGGGTTAACGTCAGAATCATGGCTGACGCAAAATAATTCCTAAAACTTCCTCTTTAAAAGCTCGAGCATCCCTGCATTGGACATGGTTGATAATAATAAAAGATGATAAAAGTGTAAACTTTCTTAGTTCAGCGGAATCATGATTTTCGAAATGCGTAATGAATGTTTTGTTTACTGTAGTCGGTGAGGGCATCGCACAGCTATTGGACACCCCCAAGGATTTATGAATTACACGAAAAAAGATACAAATAGATCGTTTGATTTCTTCTTTATTATTTAATGACATTATTCATATGCAAATAATAGATATTAAAAAGACGAAATGAAATATAATGCAGCTGACAATCTTTATTTTCTCATCGATAATAAAAAATCAAATTTGCTAATTTAAATTCTTAGACAAAACAACTTAATTGAATAAATGATAGCAAATTATCAGATGACATTAGGGGAACTAATTTTTTATGAAAGAAACTATTGGCACGTATACTTGTAAGTTGTACATGTTATATCTGCTAATTCTCCCTGGTTGCGCGCTTGATTGTGATTTCATCTAGACTTAAAAAAACATTATTTTGTAGAAAGAATTAAGCCTTATCATTTTTTTAACTTCAAGAGAAAATTATGTTATATGAATGTCAAGGTCATTTTATGTAGAATGTAAAACATTAAAGCGGAATTAGCATTCAATAAGTGAGAAAGGTGGGGGCTAGGTTTCTTACAGTTTTCAAAAAAAAAATGGGGGCTGGGTATAAGATGCACATACGTGACATATGTTTCATACATTTTATTTGCTAAAAACTCGACTCTGGTGGAACCAGCGAAGGTTTTCTACAGGTTGCCCATCCCCAATCCCGGGGATGACCTTACCTGCACAATGGCACAATTTGTACTACCCGCGCAGTCTATTTATAAGAAAATGAAATGAAATGAATATTTTTTAGTGCTTAAGGAAACGTTGAACCTACGCTTGCGAAAGTTCTATGATATTCAAAGATATTTAATTTCTTCTTTATCAAATCAAGAAACTGGTTATACGTTAAATCAGCAAAAATGGGGCTTTACTTATGCCATGAATATCACAGAAAAAGATAGAAAGAAAGACAAAGAAATTTAAAAAATTGACTTTTTATCTCCTTTTTTGTGACGACCGGAAGAATTGACGACGGAAAAGATGTTCTTCGACACATCTTCAAGTCATGATCTATGATATCTGACACGGTAAACTTTCATTTCTTAAGCTGTTCTGGAGAAATGGACCGGACAAAAATTTCCAAAATTTGGTCAATACGAAAATGTAAGAATACAAATCCGAGCTCGTTGCAAAGCAACGAGTAGGTCTTCCGTCCTGTTTGACCGGAAGTAACTTTCATTTAAAAAAAAAGAGAAATGAAGTCCAAAAATTGTTTAATTCTCCAAATCTATGTTAATTATTACTAAATTAAGCCATTTTGGCTACTTCCGGTTTGACCGGAAGTGACGTTGACGGACGGAAAATTAAGATTTAAGCTTTCTAGTGACATATGATATCCAAAAACCTGTCAAGAACAGCAAAAATAGGCAATTTTGGATAACGTCCGGTGTGACCGGAAGTGACGATGCCGGACGTATTTTGACGACTTCATTAGATAAAGCTTGACATTTTAAACAACTTTGCTTATTTGACGTATTAAAAATTCTCAATACTTTTTGAGATATAAAGGAAAATCTTTCGGCCCCTCTAGGCCCTTAATTTTAGGAGCCAGCCCTTTTTTCGAGATATCAATTGAAAGATCTTGAAATTCTACACATCTTTTGTACTTTATATTTTTTAGGCAAAAAGATATGAAGAAAAAGGGGTTGAGAAATTTTGAAATTAGTGATAGGTCAATTTTCGGGCTAAAGCAGCGCCGACGTGCGTCATTTCCGGTAAATTTGGTATACCTGATGCACCTCTCCAATTATAAGCTCTACCAAGCCGCAAAGTTTGAAGTT